GCTCAACTCTCTGCTAAAAATTTCGGGTGTTTTCTCTGTCGGCCAGCATTTCAAGCATTTTCTCACACTCCTCATCGTACCAGTAATGAGCGGGAAATGTGGTTCCACTGATCGCGCAAGTCGGTTTGTTGAAGAGTGCTCTCTCATAGCAGGTGTGAGGGTCGAGCGCCGAATCCATTGGCCATCTGTTTTGATTGCAGCTTTTCGACGTTGAACTTTCTTTGGATTGTTGGGGGCCATTTTTTGCTGCTCCGAGGTTGAGTCGTATATTGGATGCATCAATATAGTAGTGCGAGTCGATGTTTGGCCCTCGGAGTGTACGTATGTACATCTAAAACATGGAAGCATGCCTTCCGTCTATCACAACATCCTCGATTTGGTTTCCCGTTTTTCGATGTGGAGACACACATGTAGCTTGATGGATCTTTCTATGCTAGAACCCAGTAATACATATTGCCAAGTTTCGGGCCCCGGCGAAGTCGATCACCCTCAGCTAATATGTACGCTCTAAGCTAAGAGAGCCTTGGATGCCTCGTCCCTGTCTTCCATTGGGGCATTGGCACATATGAATGAGATGTTGAAGAATCTCGCTTTGATGCGGATTGTGGCTAGACTTTCGTCCACTAGAGTGAACGCCGGTCTCTCTCCCACCACAAATCCAACACCGAACTGCACTCCTTTACGTGGCAACTGTAGTAGACGTCGCAAGGCTCCACGCTTACCTTCCTCGCCCCGTCCATCGCATTTCGTGGATGGCGGTGATGTCAGCCTTTATTTCCCCTAGGACATCAACCAGCCGGGCAGAGGCACCATTCCGATTAAGGGTTCGGTGCATACTCTACAATTATAGTCCTTCCTATGATTGTCGTGATCGTCATCAAAAGAAGGGGGTATCAGCCGAGGCATGTGTTTTTTTTTTATTGGGCAGGGTTTTAACGTGGCGGGACCTAAACCCAGCGCACGCGGGCCACTCCCAGTTGAATGGCAGTCAAAAGCTTTGCAGTACTGGGAAATGTACAAAACATAGTGGTCAAAAGCGAATATCTCAACTAAACCCTGATGTATTTTTTTAATTCATAGCTCTACATACCTGTAAAGTAAACCAAATAGCCGGACCAGACGTTATTCAAAATAAAAAATGTAAAAAAATAAACTTTTTTCCGTATACTCTGTAATATTCCTCCGCAATTTTGTAAGGTAAACTAATAATTTATAATCATTGCTTTGCAGCGAAATATCTTCTCTTAAATTATATACATAGGTATGTATAAATATGAACGTATTGAACATTTTGAGTATGCAGATTTTTTATGCTGGTATATTCATTTATGCTAAATATATTACTTGATTTTGTTTTGTCACACTTAAGAAGTAAACGTCTTGGCTGTTCACCCAACCGGTCTATAGTTTTATCAATAATCTCAGATTGGTTCTGTGATACAAAACTTTCGTTGTACACTTAGAAAAGACACAAACCTAAAGACAAAGTAATAAACAATTGAACTATTTTTGCTCATTGTCGACTGCAGCCAGGTCTTTACCCTTTTTAAATGGAAGTACTTTGAAGTTAGAGGGAATAACTTGATACGGAACCGGATGATCCACATATCCACTTTTTAAATCAATTTACTAATTATTTTGTTAGCGTTGGGATTATAATTTGTTATACAGTATATATATAGGAAAAACCTTAAAAGTTAGGGGGGACGGAATTATCAAGCAAGCATTTAGTGGTACTATTTTTGAATATCTAATAATCTTAATAATTTATCATTCATATAACAGAAATATGTCACAGTAAAGCGTGACAGGGTACAGCTATTAGCTATTAGAAGTATATAGTCTGTTCCAATAGCAGTCCGGTTTACAGGATTTAGTCAGAACTTACATGAAGTTGTTCCTATTGAAATAAAACCTGTAAGTGGGAACACTTCTGAGAGAGTAACTGAGCAACTGTTCCTAGTCAGAAGTTACAGGATTTAGTCCGGAGTTTTTTTCCCCTGTAAGTTCATGAAAAGTGTCCAACGATCAGCTGATTTACATGGGCAAACAAAAACAGAAAGCGGCGAAAGCAAAGAACCTTATATTTGTTTAAAAAAAATGGAAGTAAACAACGAAATATTTGAATATGTATAGATTTTAATCATTATTTAGTGATATTTCAGCCAAATCAGCGTTTTACCAATGACATGTAAACAAACCAAGTGACGTTTTTACAGGAAATAGTGCTTTTTGCGTTCCCGTGTACTTCTGCATCTGTTCTACTTTTACTCTCACTTGAGAGTAAAATTGTAGTTTGACAGTTCCACAGGTTTTAGTCCGAAGTTCAAAGGAACAGACTAATATATATAAGGACGAATCTCCCCAAATACACTGTTCCAAAATTCTCTTTTGAGCCTAAAAAGTTATACAAACCTTTCCCGAAATGCTGAAAGGGCCCGGAATCAAGGATTTGCACATTTGCGATAGCTGTGCCTTAATCTTCTTTGCGAATCGGCGCGAATGTCTTTGTAAACTACACATGTTAGGCATCAGGGCTTCATGAGAAAAATTATAATCCAAATCGATGCTTCTATTGTTTTTGATATTACTTACTTTTATTTCCATTATTTATGTTTATTCATTAAACTTCAAACTCATTTTGACAGCTGCCGTTATGAAAAAGAGCAAGTGAGAACTCAAACGTACTTCGTATGAATTAAACTTAATTTTTTTGCACTGGTCACAAAACTTTCGGGGGGAAATGTACGCTTCACCCCTTCATGGATCCGCCAATGTACATAATTATGTATGCATCCCTCTTCATGCCTAAAACTTTTTGAACAATAAATTGGACGTTCTTTTTATTTTTTATGAAGAAAAGAAATGTTTATTACTGATATTAAATACATTTAGCAACTCATGGCGATTTCTTAATTGCGCTACTTGTATCTCATTAGTTTAAATATATAACTAATAATCGCTATGTGTATAAAAATACACATGTACATATTTGTATTCAAGACAGACCGTGTGCGCGAATGAAAAGTCTCTGTCACGCCCACCACATCAGTGAAAGGGCCCCGTCGTTCTGCCTCCGAATCATATTTAGCATATACTGTGCATGTACACAGGCGAACACATCCAAACCCACTTTCACACTGACATAAGTTTCACACTCTTTCGACTTGCAGTGCATTTCAAAATTTGCCGTCCTGCTCTTGCACTCGTATGCAGTGATCATTTGTGTGAAGATCACTGGCGCTGCTTTCCTTTTAACAAGATTAGATGTGAAGCGTCGCTCCGTGAAGGATGTGCATTGCGGATTTCCGCTTTCTTACACTTGTGCGGATCGAAGTTTAATTTCTAACTTAAAATATTTCGACACAGAGCTTAAAATTTTTAATTCTGTTCAATATGGATACGCGGTCCGTAGTGCGTTGCTTTCAGAATAATTTCTCAATAGATAATATCTTATCAAAACCAAATAGCACCAAATGTGATGCTTACTTGGCGGTATTGAGTGATTCGCCTCATTTTTCTTCTAAAAACGTGAAACAATGTAAAGATGATGAAAATATTGGAAGTGAAAGTGACAATATTGAAGTGCAGTCAAATGTTGATCTATCAGCATCAAGTCCCGTGTCGAGCTATACAGGAGACGGTATTGAGGATACGAAAAGTGAAGCTACATCCGAAGACGGCAGTAGTAAGTAATAAAGGGGTTTTGAAAACATAACTCCTTCAACTGAAATTCGATATATAAAAAAAACATCCCAAAATTTTCATCTTTACACATTCATGTTTCTGGCATGTGGGGGACGATATGTACTTGCCAATTTGTTTTACAAAAATTATTTAAAAAGCAGACGTCTCGATTGCTGAGCAAACCGGTTAATCGTTTCTGCAATTATTTCACATTGATTCTCTAAAACAAACTTTTTATGTATTCTTAAAATGCATACACCTAAAGGTAAATTTGATAGTAAATTAAACTAACAATTTATTAAAACTAGTAGTAACCTCGAAATACGGGTGAGTACTTAGCTCAAATTTTATTTAAAGAACTTCGTGAAAGACAACAATTCATCTTGTATTGCTAGACACCTGATAACCCAGGATAATTTTTAAGTTCTTAAAAGACATTACTCTACTCTAAGCTTAGTGCAGTGGGCCATGAGAAAACCGTCATCTATAAGGTATAGTCCAACCTTTCACAATATCTTGTATTAGTCTTAATCTGTAACGCAATAATGTTGTACTGGGCTAAAAACAGTGTCACACGATTGGTACATTTGTACAGATTTGTACAATTTGGCAGTTACAGAGTAGTGTTGTTTGCAAATTCTTTTACTGAGCTGAACACAAATTTCTAAAGAACACCACTCTGCGACTGCCAAAATATGTACAAATGTACCAATCGTGTGACTCTGTTTTTAGCCCAGTACAACATCCGACAGCTTCAAAATCAAAAAGAAAAAGGAACGACAATATTAGCCTGTTCCCGAATTCCATGATTTAGTGAGAGATTGTTCGCAAAATATATGATAAACGTGTGAAAGGAAACGAATTCGGACTAAATCCTGGAGTACGGGAACAGGCTAGTTTTCTGTAGCTAACAGTGATACCATATGCAGATTAAAGGTGGTATGTTCAATAAAAGGAGACAAACTTAATGTGTGGCCACAAAATCATAAAAGTTTTAAGATGGGAAGAGTTACCCTTGACTTGTGAATTAAAATGTATCACAAAAGTATCTTTTTTTTTTAAATTCGATGAAATACGTATCATTTTGATCCATTTGGATCAAAACGGCAACACTGATGATATCCCAAAGTTAAAAAAAATAACTAAAACCGAGACTTCTCTGCTTTTCGCATCGAAAGAGTTAAAAAAAAGATAAGGCACTGAAAATGCAACATAAAGCTTTGCCATTACTTGAATTCCGGCAACAAGTACCATATTTAAAACATCCGCTGTTGAAAACAGCTGCGTGCCGTATATTTTCAATTTTTGGTACAACATATGTATAACTGTGAGTCTTTGTACTCTACAACGAAATTCGTAAAGTAAAAATACCGTTCACAATTAGTTGCTTTCGCGTACCTGTTAATTATTGAAAGTTATAAAAATTATCAGCTTTTTGTGTTCGCGTACGTAAAAAACTTGCACAGTGGGGAACTTGAGAGAGCAAAATGACATTTCATTTGAGAGAAATCTGCTAGTTTCTGCTGGAAAAATTTTTGCCAACAGCAATTTGCCAACAAGAAAACAGCAGATCAAAAACAGCCGGTTGGAATTTACGCAAATCTCAAAATTTAATTTGATGGTTTGGAAGTTAAAATAGTAAAATGCGACTAATTAAACTTGTAAGAAGTAAGTTTAGTTAGTGAACTGTGTCAGGATAAGACTTCGGAATTTGTTTTCTTACGTTTTCAATTTTATACTTTTGAATGTAAACAAAATTTCTATCAGCTGTTCGTCTAACTTGCAAGTTTCTGTAAGTTTTCTGTTCCCGAACTATTTTGGATATTTTGCCTTTGTGAGATAACAGATGACAAATATGCTGCAGAAACACAACAGCAAACAACAGCTGAGCTAAGAAGCAATGACATGCTATAACAGTATGTTTGAGATGGAATGACATGGCATAGCAATGCAAGAAATTTTTGAAAATGACATTTTAATAGATACGCTGGGAAGAAGCTAAGAAAATGTTTAAATTAATATTTTGTTACTTACTTCACCGTTCGAAATCTGAAAACTATACCTTTCATGAGCATGAAATGGTATTATAACTTTGGTCCGATATTTGTAAGTACAAGAATAAGAAGAGATAGACTCATGAAAATGTGTACTTATGTATGTGACCAGAACACCGAGCTGAGTCGACTTAGGCATATGGCAACCGAACTTCAGTTGGATGGCCACTGGCTGAAATGGTTTTACAGATGGCAACTGCAAGCTGGCAACTGAGTTGCTATATTGGCAACTGCATTTGTGTGGTCGCTGCGGTATTAATCGAAGATTGTATAAGGTAAACTTTACTGCCCCTAGGTAGCGACGCCCATGTTCACAAATATGCATATCGTCGTTTAAAGTACAAAACCACGTATCAACAAAATGCAAAACCGCGTATCAAGACAATGCAAAACCGCGTATCAAGACAATGCAAAACCGCGTATGTGAGGTTGCATAAATTATTGAGCCAAGAGCTTGTGTGAGGCTTTGTACATTAAACGACGATATGCATATGCCTTGGAATCTAAGATCAGAATAAATTAGCACGGTCATCGAAAAGCCATTGCGACAAAAAGTAGTAATCGTGATCCCATTTGCATGGGAATGGACTCAGGCAGGTTATGTAATTCACTTCCGTGTGAATTTCAACCCTATTCAATCTGAATTCAAAGTGACTTTGGGTGAAATTCACTCGGAAGTGAATTGCAGAACCTGTCTAACTATGAAAAATGGTTAGAATGGCAAACTGCTACGGCCGCTATACTAAAAAGTTTTAAAAATATGCAACAATTTTTTGGTAGTCCGGTAAAATTATACCCCTTTTTCAGGGGATAGAAGACAGCCCTATTCTGCATTTCGACTCGAATTGAAATTTTCTCCGTTTGGCAACTTTGGTATTCTGCGTTCTGTTTCCTTTCGATCGATCTTCGAAATTTGCGATTATACCTATTCTACATTTCAATCGTAGTTCCGCTTTTCTAAGTTGCAAATTTGTTGACGGAGAACGTTTCGATTGTTATTTTCGTGAGTTTTAATAATAAAATGTTATAAAAAAAAATAAGTAAAATATACTGTGCATGATTGTAAAAGTCATCATAAATGAATTTTCTCGATTTCTGTGTTTACGCGAGCGGTAATACGGGAAATACGAAAAATTGGCTCAAATAATGACAACCAAAAGGGATATTGCGCGAGGTTTTCAAAGAGGAAGTCCAGGCGTTCTTGTTTTCATTATCTATAAATAAGACTGTGAAATGCACTGAATACAATTTATCCTTTTTATATAAAATTAATAGATGTATGTATATACATACATACATACAGTATCGGTCATATCTATAGCACGCCATTTCAAAGTGAAATTGTTTGCCACTATTAATTATCTATTTGTTTTTAAGAATTTCCAATTGAAATATAGTTCTTTCTCTAACAAACCCCATATAAACCCAAGTTTAACAATTTGTAGAAAACTTCAAAAAAGTGCAACAAATTTTCCCCTAAGTTTCAAACTTTTTTCTCGGACACAGTTTTTTAGCCCCTTCAATTTTAGACTGATAATGTGCAAATTTCAAGTGGCTACGAATTACCGTTGATTTTTTAGAATTTTTTTTGCCGCATTGGCTTCCATATAATGAATAAATTCAATTTATTTGTATGTGGAAGAAATCCCCAACAGTTTTGGCGAAAAAAATTCTAAAAAATCAACGGTAACTTTTAGCCACTTGAAACTTGCACATTATCAGTAAAATTGATTGGGCTATAAAACTGTGTATTCAAATAAACAAAAAAATTTTGAAATTTGGGTGATAATTTGTTGCACTTTTTTGTAGTTTTCTACAAATTGTTAAACTTGGGTTTATATGGTACGGTTTTATTAGAGAAACATCTGTATTTTAATTGAAAATTCTTAAAAATAAATAAACATAAGTGGCACACAATATAACTTTGAAACGGCGTGCTATAGATATGACCGATACTGTACATAGAATGTGTGGTTACATAAAAAATTTGCTCTTATTATTGCACTCCTTTTTACTAACTTTGTAAAAAGATGTCTCGAATTCGATTTGCTATGGAAGGATAAGCTTTGTTCTTCCCCTTCTCCTGACGCCTTTTAAAATGGAATTCATTTGCGTTCAAATCTCCACTCTGTAGTAAATGCAAATGTTGTGGAGTGCTCAAACAACGTTTATAATTTCACTGGCTTTGAGCGATGAGTAATACAGTTCAAGATAATTTCTTATGACTCTTCACTCATCTGAAAGAGATCAAACATGTCCCTAAATCTCCGCTTTTCAACTTCCGCATCAGCAATCTGGGACTCGTTCTCCTCTTCTAGCAATAACGCCGCGGCTATGGATTTCATTCTTATAATTATGTTTCCACTTAAATTAAAAGCAAACGAAATTTTATTTTTAAATTAAAGTGATGCTAGATATATTTAGTTATTTTAAAATATTTACAAACTTTACCTTCATAAGCTGCTATAGTTTGGGGCAAATATTTCTTGGTTTTGTTTCGATTTTACACATTCCTACTGCTGATTTTGAAAGATGTTTTTTCTCTTTCTCTCCTTCTTCCGATTCGATCGTAACTCAGAATACCTAAGTTCGATTCTTGCGGAGTGGAATGCGCGAACGTAATCGAAATGCAGAATAGGGCTGAATATTCTAGCCAATGGCCGCTTGCTTCGCGGGGCCTGGTAAGAACATATACATTTGCGTTCGCCATTACAAATACAGCGTTGAAAAGCAAAAGATCTTAGTTTATATTGAATCGACTAAATAGCAGACCATCCTCAAATAGGCCTAGAATAGTAGCGCTGTGATACCATATGGAAAACTAATATCTTTGAGTATCATAAGCTTCACCGATAATCTTATTTCCACCTGGTAGATCTCTGCCAAGCATGCGTAATCGTCTTCTATGATCTTGCAACTATAACCTTGGTCCGTTGCGTCAACCTCC